CTATAAGATGTTTTTGGATCCCACAGAAGGAATAAATTACTGTCAAATGAATGAAAAATGGGATTCAATATAGAATGTAGAGGTAAGGGGGCACTTGGAGATAATATAATAAGTGAGGAAAAACAAAAAGAGAAATCTGATTGAAGAGTCAGGTGCTACCTAAGAGCAACGACTCCTAAAATTCAATTGTACCCAATATTTTCTCCATTTCCTTTTTAGCCTACATAATGCAAATTAAGACAACATCTACAATCATAAAACCTCTTTAAAAACTTCAGGTATAACTTTTTAATTTTTATCTTTATTTATTTTGAGAGAGAGAATGAGCAGGGGAGGGGCAGAGAAAAAGAAAGACAGAGAGAGAGAGAGAGAGAGAGAGAGAGAGAGAGAGAGTATCCCAAGCAGGCTCCACACTGTGAGTGTGAAGGCTTGAACTGAGGAACCATGAGATCATGACCTGAGCTGAAATAAAGAGTCAAACGCTTATCTGACGGAGCCACCCAGGTGTCCCTGGGTATAACTTTTTAAATAAGAACTATAATTGCCTTCATTTTTAGACTTATATATTTCATTTATACACTGACACATCTTTCAATAGTCATACACATCAACTAAGTACATCCAATAAAAGTTCACTGGGTAGGATACCACCATCAATTTTGAACTCTGCACAAGGATAGTCGATAATACAGAGATAGTTTAAGCATTGTAAAAGTTTGGTCATGGCAAATGTGGCCTTGTGTGGTTAATGTTGTCTCTTTCTATGTATCAATAGTACTAAAAAAATAAAAATTAAAGTTAAAAAAAAAGGAAGAAGAGTAAGATGAAGCCAAAACCTAGTAAGAGCTAACTGTTCTCAACACATTTCTCTCAGGTATCCTTGAATCAGTTGAGAAACCAACTCTCTGGAGAAAAGACACAGAAGTCTCAGTGTAGCAGAGGCAGATGAATGTCTTCAGTCTTTGGCTAAAAAACATTCAGACAACCAGCAAACACATGTCAGCGCCTATGGGTATCCTGAAAATAGTTTATTCCTGTGAGAGAAGTAACAACATCGACATCAGCCTGAAAAGCTCTCTAGAGAATTTCAGAAGGATGGCCAATTAAGATAAAGAGTGTTTTGACATCTTAATAAAATGCTACATCTCAGGATAACCATAGGAGAAGGGTAGAATCACCATTTCATGAAATATGAGTGCTCATTCTAGAAAAGCAAGTTTAAGATACCATGTAAGTCTTTACATGAAAGCAGCTAGATATTTATTAGATAAATATTGTGTCTTAGCAGAATAGAGTGGTTATTGAAATTCAGTGTGTGTAAGTATGATATGTACCTATACCTTAACTAATGTTTCCCTGTTTGAAAATCATTTTGAACTACTACATTATAAAAAGGTAAGTGGTTGCTATCATTCACTCACACCATGCTTAGGGTACTAATCAATCTATCATATCTAATTACAGTGATAGAATTACTGTAGTATTCTTGATTACATAGAAATTTACCATAATATGGGATAAAACCGTTAGATTATATGTGCAAAGAAATATAGAAAAAAGTTCACATAATTGAATCCAACTTTGAAAAAAAAACTCTTCCATTCTCTCTGGATATTCTTAAACTTAGGAGAAAAATAGCTTTAGAAGAAATAACATGTACCAGTTTATCCTAATTGCGTAGATAATTGCCCTAAACTATGTACAAAGCAAGCTTAACCTCAATTCGCTTTAGTTTGATAACAAAGAGCAACCTCAAACATAAAAGCCAAGATTTCAATAAACACACGAATGTAATCTCTTATTGGAGAATTCTCCTTTCAAAAATAAGCATTTTAGAGAGAAGTTAATTTTTCTTGTCTTTCCTTTTATTAATCTATTTCAGAAAAGAAATCGTCCTCTTCTACAAGAACCATAAATCGTATCAGTGGTATATTAATTCTTTTTGGTTTGTTTTTCTTAACAGTTACATCAGAAACTTTATCATTTTATATTTTAATTCCTAAATGGACACTGTTAAAACATTCGGGGATTAGCCCTAAATCCTTTAACCCACAGGGAGCCCGGGAACCTTGTTAAAGTAGAGAGCTGCACAAAATCTCAACTCTCATTTGCAAATTTTCTTTCCATCTAATTTAACTTTGAAGCGTTTCAACTCAGAGATTTCACCGTATGACATCAACAAAACACTTCAATCAAAATCAAGTTACCTTAGCGCTGCACAGTTCTCCAGATTACTAAAAAGGTAAAATGAGAAATTCACTCTCTTTTCATATTTCCCTTTATTTTCTCTTGATGCAAGGCAAGCCTGTTCGTATTTCAAGACAAATTGCTCTGGCATCTCATTATCCCCAAATGCCGGTTTTCATTCTCGGACACTTGCTTATAAACTAAGCCTTTTCCTGGCATAAACAGTCACTTGCTGCAGTGCAGAATATCAGTTTGGTCAGAACTTTCAATGCAGAAATTCAGGGCGATGCAGTCCAGCTCTCCCAGCACTTACCTTAATTGAAATATTCTCTGTGAAGGAGGTGAGAAATCAGTCAAATCAACCGTGAATGGGGTGGGGAGATGGAAGTTTTCGATCAACACCCTCCAAGTAGCTGCCTGCGGGGCGTCTTTTTCCTGTTTATGTAGAGCCCCTCACTGTCTGCGAGGACAAAAAGATAAGCTGAAATCCTCAGAGGTTCCAGTGAGTAAATGAGGACTAAGCGATGTTTCCTAACGGGAGATCCTCCGCGAGCATGCTGCGTTTGGTGGCTCCCTAACTGCTGTGATAGGCTCCTGTCAGGTCCCTGGAGCCCGGCGATAATCATTGACCTGATTAGCAGGGAACACTCCCTGTGCGCAGGCAACACACGCGGAGGGTTGGTGGGTCCCCTGGGAATCGGAAAAGGCACCAAGGCCACTTGGGAATCTTGTCTTTTCCAGCCTAATGGATGAACTACAGCTAGGACTATAATGTGCAAGGAGATGAGCCACAGTGTTAAGCCATCGGAGGACTTTAAGAAATGTGCTTTCTCCTGCTGTTTTGCAAGGTGCATTCCTGTTAGAGATCAGGTACAGTGAAACAATTAATAGCCTGATAGAGCGGATTTGTAAGAAAAGCCTAAAGCTGAAAAATGTTTAAAGCGATGTGATAAAAGAGATAGCTGCATTTGTCTTTGCTCCGAGCCTGGTACATACTTCAACCTATGTCTACGTAAAATGAATTTAGAGGTTTATCGCAGCCCTCCAGAGTGCAACTCTCTGATTTATTAAAAGTATTCATACTAAATAAGCTGGTTTGGCAGTTTCTTACAGACACGAACACTCAAACCAAGGCATGGAGAATACAGCATCGCTTGTGCAGTTTTTCAAAGAGCATGTTAAGTTAGCAACATACTTACAGAAATGTTTGCATTATACTATTAACCCGAGTAACGTGGGGGAGTAAGACATTGCACCTAACTGAATCATCTCTTCTATTATCAGTTGAAATATCGATTTCTAAAACAAAAACAGAGTATGAGAGGATCCAAAATGTCAAGCACTTTATTTTTTTCCAAAATGTCAACCATTTTAATATAGTCATGTGCCCTTAACAACCTGCTGATATCTATCCACTGACCACCTGAGAAGCCCTTCAACATCTCTGACTTTAAAAGTTACCACTTCCCTGAAGAGATCTAATTTCTCAAAAAGGTCACATAACTAAATGCCAAAGCCCCAAATGGTTAATTTTTGACAGCTCTCACTTCTATAGGAGAAAATTATTCAAATAACATAAAAAGAACAGATGAAAAAAGTCATTTGCATGTCTTGAGGGTGAGAAAAATCTCATTGCCAGGGAGAAAACTGACAAATGTCCTCTCACAATGGTGCTGTGTGATATGTTCAGCATTTCTGCTTTTCCAAGGAGGTTTTCGCTTGGGACATATGGCATTCCCTTGATGTGTGTGTGTGTGTAAGACAGACAGGGTTGGGGGGAGGCTGCATTTGCATTGTAATATTTTAATATTAACATACATCTTGGAAAAAACCGCCAAGTTTCAATAAAGGGGTGCACAAAGCATGATAGAGAATGTGTTTGCCTTACATATTGCCAAATAAATTTCAAAAAAGGATTTCATTAAAGGACAAGCTCTTTGATGACACTTATTGGACAAAATAAAACTTCAGCATAACTGAGTTGCTCTAATAGGACAGACACTTGAACGTAACACAGATGCACTGTGGAGAAGCCCCAGGACAAGGGCTGAGCCTGTGTCCCTCGGAGAGGAGGTCTCTTGCTCCCTCAGCTGGTGGAGGGGGAGAGATGAAGGGAAAAAACTCAGTCGATACACTTCAGGAGAGGGAGAGTAACTTCTGCTGCTGCTAAGCAGGAAATCCATTATCCAATTATAGACTGGCATTAGAGTGTTCTAGTAGAAAAGAGGCTGCTTAAATCAAAATTGATGCACATAAATTGTAAATAAATAGTCAACAGGAAATACAACTGCAAATTCTTCTGTAAGGATCCTGATTAGTGGTTAACACAGCGCTTGTAAATGAAAATCTGATGGATTCCATGGTTCTGATATTTGGTCGGCCATGCAGTTAAAGCCCTCTGTTCTTGTACTGGTCTAAGCCTCATTCTGAAGATCTTTAATAGTGACCTCTTTTTAAAGCTTTTTAATTAAGACGGTGCTTATTTTCTTAAATATGTGGTTTTAAATTTTTTTTTTATTACATTTCTTTCTTTTTGAGAGGCAGAGAGCGAGCCGGGGAGGGGTAGAGAGAGAGAGAGGGAGACACAGAATCCGGAAGTAGGCTCCAGACTCTGAGCTGTCAGCACAGAGCCCGAAGTGGGGCTCAAACTCACGAACCAAGAGATCAAGACCTGAGCTGAAGTCAGACGCTCAACCGACTGAGCCACCCAGGTGCCCCAAGACAGTTCTTATTTTCTTGAACCCTATCCACCAGTAATTATTGTCCCTGCTAACTTCAAGTGCTATTTGAAAAACTACACAAGCAATGCTCTAACAAGTGTACATACAGTTAAGATAACTTTGTTCCATAGTAGAAAGTTTCTACCTGGAAAGCCCCAACGGCATATGACTGCACTGATGCTTCTTCTAAATGACACAGGCTCCAAGTATCTTTCACCTTAAACCTTAAACATTTTCTACAGACAACAGGAGTGATTCTGCAGTGTTCTTTGTTAACCTATGTTGAATAAATAATTGATTTCATGTGGAAGTCCACTTGTGAGTGACAAAGTAAAATGATACTATTATGTGGGGAGTATGGCAAAGATATGGTAGTGATAGTTATAGACACTACATGTGAAATGCTTTCCACATGTCAGATATTTTGCATGGATTTTTACTATAGCTGCTGTCCATGGATCCTTAAAACAATCTCATTAAGCAGATATTATTATTATTACTTTTAAAAATTTCTGTTAAGTAAGCTAAGATTCTGAGAAACTAAAGAAATTTATCAGTGCCTTCCAGCCAGCAGAGAGCAGATTCAGAATTAAATCGCAGATCCTTTCACAGTAAAATCTTGATGTTTAGAAATGTCCAAACACTAAAACCAACAAAAAATACTTGCTTCCAAATGAATAAGAAACTTTTCTTGTTTTTGTGATTTGAAAAATACATTTACATCTTTCAAAAATTAATCTTGTAAATTATGTTTGATAAAATATTATTTTGTAATATTTTAGCCACAGTAAATAGTTATGTATAACTTAGTTGAAAAAGAAATCCAACAACAAAATTTCTTTAGCCTAAACAACCTAGATGTTCCAAATGATGTCATTTCATCAGCACAAATTGTTGCAACAACAAAAAATCTCTTTTGCAATTCATCCTCCCTCTTCCTCAGAAATAGTAATTATTGTTTTCTAAACTGGAAAATGACCCTATCCTAATGCATGGCTATCCCAAGAACACTTACTAAAAATATAGTAGGCCAAAATTTTGATCATTTCTGATATCTTAGTTCTCCAGCAGAAGTAATGCAAGAGCAAAGTTCATAGGAATTGTGGAGTTGAAGAATTCATTTCTAGTGTGTTTATGCATTATCTAGAAGTTTCTTGAACCTCATTTGAATCCTACCATTTCATATGGCCTGCTGAAATTCTCAGACACATTCATAATCTTACAGAAAAATACTGTGACCACACTTTTTCAAGGCTTCTAATAAAAATTCTGTCTAAAAGAAAAGAATGATGATAACTCAAATTAATTCAGACCTTAAACTTTGCCAAGAAATTTCCCACCTATCATCTCATTTGATTTTTACAGGAATCTTTTGATATAACTTACGATAAGTATTTTATTCATATTTTAATGATGGGGAATTAGGAATAAGAAGAGCCAAGTAATTGTCCTTTGGTCTTTGGCACTTAGTGGAAAATCTGATGTCTTCCTTTCCCAGACAAGTCTTACTGGTCTGCACTGTGTCTAAACAATATGCTTGTCAGTGTCACGTCGTAGTCAACACTCCAAATGGGTATCTAAACGGAAGCCAGTCTTTCTTCATTTCCTTGGTCTGTACTAACAAGCGAGGAATTGAGATTATCGTGTAATAAAGAAAAAACATACTCTAAGCCGATAGGAAGATTGTGATTGATACGCACAGAAATTTCTCCGCTTAGATTTCTCATAGGCATTCATGATCTTGATTATTATGATATTAAGATGATTGTGTTGATGTTTGTCTTATGATTCTTATATGAATCTCATCTTGCTTCTCTGTGGACTTCAGATTCAAATATTACCTACCTGCATCATTTTTTTGGGTGACTTAATTATCAGGAGAAAGGAAATCCCAGAACTTTAGTGTTAATTGTTTTAAATTAAAAATAAACAAATTGAGGCACCTGGGTGGCTCAGTTGGTTAAGCGTCCAACTTCAACTCAGGTCATGATCTCCTGGCTTGTGACTTCCAGCCCTGTGTCTGGCTCTGTGCTGACAGCTTGGAGCCTGGAGCCTACTTTGGATTCTGGGTCTCCCTCTCCCTGCCCTTCCCATGCTCAGTCTCTCTCTCTCTCTCTCTCTCTCTCTCTCTCCCTCTCTCTCTCTCTCTCCCTCTCTCTCTCAAAATAATAAACATTAAAAATAAAAATAATTAAAAAGAAATAAATAAATAGTAAATAAAACAAGCAAGGAACCTAGCAAAGTATTAACAAACTGACCTTTTGCCAGCAGCATTGAGTTAACTACTAACACTGGGCTGTTTGGTCAATACTAAGAGATTCTCATATGTTATACCTATTTCAGCCTAGGTGTAAGGATAAGCGTGGAATGGCTGAATTTAACAGCCTTTAAGGTAAATTTTTCACATTTTTGAGGCCTGCTTTATTCACACATGCCCATGAATTTGAAACACTATGAACTCCTGGAAATAAAGAAAAACTCAACTGGCTATCAGAAGCTTGGACTATGGTCAAAATTCCGGCACTACAAGCTTTGTAACCCGGAGCCATTTCAAAAACTTCCAGTTAAAATTTTATTGGAAAATGTGAGGAAATTAGCATATGTTATCTCTACGATTTCATTCAGCTATTAAATTATGTTATCTATTTGGCTAATAATTTGGAATATCTTTTCTACTTAATTCAGAAATAATCAAGCCGCCAAGAAGGAAAGGATATAAGCAAATACACTCTTTCTCCCC